AAAATCAAGCTCTTCACCTGGAAAGCTCTTAATTAAATCCTCCCTTTTCCTAATATTCACAATAGACTAACATACAACTTGCCTAGCAAATGCATATTTTATGCTAAGGATGAAGCAACAGATGCTCATACACTTCTTATTTGTGACCAATCTGAAAGTATATGAAAGGCCTTCGCAGAATCCATTTTGGGGGGGGGGGGGGGGGCAATTTGACTCATAATAAAACATCCCTAAGAGGTCTCCTTAGGCTTGTATTACCAGGATGTATCATTTGGATTTTCTGGAAAACTTATAACCGAGTTATATATGAAGATTTGAAGCCAAAAAAGACGAGTATAATAATCAAAATTCAAAAGCTGATTCAACATTGGTGCTGGTCGAACAAGAAAGCTCAGAAGATTTCAAATATGGCGGAAATTGAAGCATTGAACCTCAAATACTATCTTACCAAATGGGACCGTAACAACATGAATATGGAGATATGCACAAATTAAATCAAAGCTTGCGTAGAATGAAAGAAATAGAAGCTTGGTGAACACCTCTAGGGTTCGGTCAGCCTGGCGAATATGTTTCTTTGACTTTTGTTTTGTACTTTGATCCTTGTAAATTTTACTTTTGGGGCTTCAGTCTAGTCTTCCCCAAACGTGTACCGACCTTTTTTTAATAATAAACTTGGTAAGAACGCCTGAACCTTACGCCACTGATTTTGGTGGTTTTTTTCGGGCTATGTGTGTGTGTGTGTGTGGTGGGTTGGGCTTTTTGGGCTTTGATATGTATACGAATAAATCTAAGAGTAGATCTGGTCATTTGGTGCGTTTATTGTTAATAAATATTATAACAATATGTATACGAATAAATCTGAGCAGTAGATCTAACTCATTTGGTGCCTGAACTGGACAAACAATATGTTGTTGGTCACCTTTTCATGATACCTACCAAAAAAACGTAAAATTAGTTAGATAATATTATAATTACGTCATATTTGTATTTTGTTCATTTTCTTATTATAATCTTTTTAGTCTTGGGACGGTCAAAGCCCTAACTTTTGTAACTTGGATCTGCACACGGAATACGCCGTTGAACTTGTTTTGTCGAGATTTTCAATTCGATTATAAACTTTTCCATAAAAAGTTAACTTTGAAAATCACTTATTTATTTTAGTGTCGTTGTTATAATTTTATTTTATTTAAACAAAATTTAGAAATCCACTATTAAGTTCTAGGGTACATTTCATGTTGTGATGTACAAAGCCCCTGTGAGCATGGACTATATATTTTAACTCTCCTTCACATGTGTTTTTTGACGTAATTTTTTAATATGTAATTTATATTTTTTTTCAATATATCAAGTTGTGAATAAAATAACTTTAAAAAGTAAGATATTTTTTCTCGTAAATCCTAATCTATAATCAGATTAGGGAAGGAAGGAATAGTACTTTATAGGGAGACTCCGTATTTCACAAGCATGCTCGGCAAATGCCCAAGACCATAGGTAGCTCTAAGTGTTGGGCTGGGTTGAAATTTTAGGTTCGAGTTGCGGATTGAGCCAGACTCGAGGTTAGTAGTACTTAGACAGCAGACTTCTTGGCCTGTCCGAAGCAAAAGCTGACCTGCACTTTGATGGGGAGATCATTCCATAAAACACCGAGCATCTCTAGATCATTTAAAAAAAATATTACTCCCTCCGTCCCTAAATAAACTTTCGTTTTTGATTTTTTGATGATTTAAGGGAGGGATATTTTGGTTTTGACTTTTCAAAAAAGTCCTTGATGTGATGTGTAAAAATAAGATGTGATATGTAGATTATTAGTAAAAAGGTATGATGTGATAGGTAGGGTATGAAAAAGTAAGGGGTAAAAGGGGTTTTTAAGGGAAAAGAGAAGTTTATTTGGGGACAAAGAAAAAATGAAAAAGGAATTTTATTTAGGGATGGAGGGAGTATAATCTTTCTTCTTTTTTTTGAAAAGTAATTCATGCACTAGGGTGTTCATTCGGTATTACCGTACCGAACCGAATTGTACCGAAATTTGGGTAAATTATTTTACTGAACTATATTGAATCAGTTCGGTTTGGTAAAAAACAAAAAAATGTTTTTGTAAATGATTTTACCAAAAAACTGAAAAATAATGCCACAAGAAATTCTAGAATCACCAGGTGAATTCTTTAGACAAAAATACTGTTCAATTAAAATTCTTAGACAATTAAACACTTTCAAAAATTCAAAGTAGAAAATATTAGAATTAAAAAAAAAAAGACTAAAAAAACATCGTGTGAAGTACTCCGTATTATTTTTCATCAATATATTTTTTATATAATTAATATGGCTTATAATTTTAATTTAACTATAAATGAAAGGTCAATCTTGTTTAATAGCGAAAATTTAAACAAAATGAACATTTAGGATAGAGGGTATCTTTCCACTTGTCAATGGCGTATTGTATGTGTGGTTAATGCTTTCATGGATTTTGTTATGCTAGATATGCTTTAGTGGGGTACAACTATAAGAGGGTGTTCGATAATGTTGTGAGAAATGGAAAAGTAAAAATTACCCCCTCCGTCTTGAAAAAGTGTTCCTCTTTTGACTTTGTGTAAAAATAAGGAAATATTAAATTGTAGTTGACTTTCTAATTTTGCTCTTGATGTGATAGGTAAAAGTAAGATATGATGGATAGATTATTAGAGATAAAGTATGATGTGATAGGTAGGGTATGAAAAGTAAGGGTAAAAGTGGGTTTTTAATAAAAAGTGGAAGTGTTTTTGTTGGAAGTAAAAAAAATGAAAGAGGAAGTGTTTTTGAGAACGGATGGAATATAAGTTAGAAGCAATAAGTAATTATTTTTTAGCTTTGCTAAAAAGTACTTTTAAACCTTGATTTCTGCTTCTATAGCCATAATTCATAAGTTGAAGTACCTTGCCAAACACTTAAAATTGTTTTTTAATAAAATAGAAGCTATATGTTGTTTTCTAATGCACTATCAAACACCCTCTAAGAGATACTTCTTACGTCCAAAAATGATTGCCACATTTACTTTTTCAATAGTCACGGGAATTTTTGTTTATTTGTACGTTTTCATTGGTTATTTGATAAAATAGACTATTTTTGGCACCTCTTATGTCAAAGATTTTTTCATGTATTTTTTAAATATGTAAATTTTATTTTTTATTTTTATACCGATATTTAAATAAAATAAGTTAAAAAATTAATGTTTAACCTCGTTTTTAAAAATGTGGTAAACATTTACGAATGGAGAGAGTATCTAATACTAGGTGTGGGATGCAAAACTTTGACATGAATAGTTCAAATCAGGAAGAATAAAACATGTTAGAAAAATGCTAGGGGTACACCAAAAGTGTACCTCATTTGTCCCCCACCCCCTCCATAACCACCAAAAAAGGCAAGAGAATAAAAAAAATTAAATAAATAAAAATAAAATAAATTGAGTGGTGGAGAAAGGGGTGGGGGACAAATGGGGTACACCTTTGGTGTACCCCTAGCATTGCTCAACATGTTAACATGAGACTTTTAATACGGAGTATTTTTCTTAGGCAAACTTTTGAATTGGACCTAAGGTCCACAATGTATATATGAGCAAAATAAATATTTCTTTACTATTAAAATAAGTATTTTTTTAAATAAAAAAAATAATTTTTATGTGAGAAGGTCTGCAAAAATGATATTCACCTAAAGAATTATATGAAATGCTCACAAACAATTTCAAGTTGTGTCATCCCAAAGTGCAAACAGTCATATTTTAGGGATAAAAAACATAACATATCCTATTTTGGCTAACTTAAATATTTTAGTTCTATCCAACTCTTCTTAATACTATTCGTGTATTTTGACTTTTTCAAGTCAAACTGCACAAACATAAAAAAAATCATTTGGTTCAATTTGTTGAGGACTTTCACAATTTTTTTATTGTATTAATATACCATGCAAATTAAAAATGAATAATGATTCAAGTTTATTTAATTTGATTAAAAAAAATTAAATTGAACGAATTACCAAGTAAAATAATTAATAATGAGAACTACAAATTGGGGAAATGAACGCAGTCTTTTTTTTCATTGTGAGGTAGTGAATGCAAATATCTCTAGTAGTGATCAGGAATGGAAAATTCATGGTGTGGACTCAGCCAAGTAAAGCCCTCACCGACCAGATTCGAACAATCTCTTCAGGCCCTCATATGCAAGATACACAAATATATAACAAAAACATGTTATCGCCCACTATATTGAATTGGGCCCTAAATCATGCCCTTAACTTCCACAAGCAAAAACTTTTTGCGGGATTCGATTAACAAAGACGACTAACAGGATGTTGGTGGAAAATCTTGGACACATGTATATGTCATTCACGAATCATCAATCAAATAAGACTCTATGATGCAATACATTGTACAAAGCTACCAACGTGTCGGGATCTCTGAGTTTCTGTTGAGAAAAAAGTATTTGTACATTTCTGATCGACCAGTTGGAAGAAAGATCAACACTCAGACTAGCTGATATTTTGGCCTTTGACTGAATAGGAAGTGATGGGCAGTTGGGCCAATTGAGAGGCCCAGCCCGAAGGTACCTCTGCAGTCCACAATCCAGTTGGCCCGTGGAGGGTTTGGCACGCCACGAGACAGTTTGCTGTAATTAGAACGGGTTGCCATGGTACGGGTCCAAGATAGTAGCGCAGTCGAAGACGTTGGAGCAGCGGTTAGGGCGCAGTAAGGCGGTGGTTTCTACGGCCTAGGAGAATCATATGCAATCTGGTTACCTTAATTATCAGCTATCTTATTTGTACCGTGTAATTCAATACCATTATCTTGAAGCTAAATCTAGTAATTCAATACCATAAGTTCTGTATTGTCAAGCTCTAGATATTCAATCTAAATAACCCAATCCGACTCCAGGCGCAAAAACATGTGTGCATTAAGCTATGGAATGGGGGTATCAAAATCCACTATCCATAGATGGCTTGAGTTAAAGCAGATTAGGAGGCATTCAAATGCCATAAAGCCATTACTGTGTGAATCAGGTAAGTTGAAAAGGCTTAAATTCTGTATAGATCATATTTCTCCCCAATCAATCCCCATGAACCCACATTTCATGACTTTTATGATCATATTCACATTGATGAAAAATGGTTTGATATCACAAAAAGAAGCACAACTTTCTATGCTCTGCCTGATGAGATAGACCCATACAAAACCATTCAAAGCAAAAGTCACATACACAAAATAATGTTCCTAGCTGCTGTTGGTAGGCCAAGGTATGGGGAGCATGGGGAAGTTTTGTGGGATGGGAAAATAGACATATTCCCATTCACTTATGAAGCTGCAGCTCAAAGGTCAAGTAAAAATAGGCCAGCAGGGACAATGGAGGTTAAAGCTATCCCAATAATAAATAGGGATGTTATGAAAGAGATGTTACTCAGTAAGTTACTACCAGCAATCAAGCAAAAGTGGCCAGGTTCTTCAAGGAATGTTATTATTCAGCAAGATAACGCAAAGCCTCATGTGGATGGTATTGACCCTGATATTTTACTAGCAGGACATGAAGGAGACTGGAATATTCAATTGAAATTCCAGCCTCCAAATAGCCCAGACCTAAATGTACTTGATCTTGGATTCTTTAGATCTATTGACACATTGCAAGACCAAGAGCATCACCCCTGAACAGTTTAAGGAGGTCGTGGCTGCCATCACCACTCATGGGGAAATAGCACTTGAGACACCTTAACTAGGGCACATGCTGCGGGAGACGCAAGACCAGAAGGCTCGGCTGGCAAAAGGAAGAAAAAAATCTGACGATCCCAGAAGAAGAAGGCGTCCAAGCCAAATGGGAAGGAAATCAAGGAGGACGATCTATCACTGGTGGAAGAGGAAGGTGAATCCTCATCATACACGTCTTTCTATATTTGAACGACTAGGAGATCCCAAACTGAAGAAGCGTCTAGTCTCTACATTCGATTGCAGGATGAGCGATCATCTCGAAGGGGGGACCTTAGGGTGAAAATCAACGAGCGGCAGGGGGAATCCTCGGCGACGTCCTGGGCCAATCGCAGGAAAAAAAGAAGGCGACTGTATCGACAGGGAGGTGGACGACCTATGGAAGACAGTGGAGGAGCTGAAGAAGAGGGCAGTCGCTAAAATCCCTACTGCCAGGCAATCCTGGATGAGGTAACTCCCTTCTCACAAAGAGTAATGTCGTGTGTCTATATATATATGTGTGTGTGTGTGTGTGTGTGTGTTCTATTTTAATCAAATTTGGTTGAGTCTAACGAGAAGAAAATTTAATGAGATGAAAATTAATTAGTGAAATTCATTTAATTTTATGCCCAATAACTATTTCAGCCCGTTTAGATTGAATGCGATTAGGTGAAAATTAAATAAAATTTTATGAAATGACATTTAATTTGGTTAAAATGTTTTGAAATTGGGTAGAATTGAATATATTTAGCTAAAATTTGAGTGTAATTAAATGTAATTCTGAGCACACGTTTTAACATAATATTTATGTAAGATGAGTTTTTATTTCGAGACCAATTTGTAAATGAAATAAATTTATAAATGCATGAAATTTTGCATTTTGTTTAGATATGATATTTCATTTTGGGACTTAGAGAGTAAGTAATATGTATATAACTAGTTTAAATGATAAAATAAAAGTAAATATTTGAAAACACGTGCATGTAATTATTCACTAATGTACATAAATATAATATGTTTATTGTGAACTTCTCCCATGACTTGAGTGGTAGTCAGCCCTTCATGGGTAAGTTTACCCAAGTTCGAGCATCAGCGGATGCATTGATTCTTTGTTCGTCAATAGCTTGAGAAATCATTAACAGATACTCCCTCCGTCCCTTTTTCCTTTTCTTGTTTTGACTTTCAACCAATTTAAGGAACCAATTTTTTTTCATTGACTTGACAATTTTATCCTCAACCCTAATAAAATAATAGAAAGCAAATAGTGTAAAGTAAATTGCATTTAATGTGCGGTGTAGTTGTCCATCAAATCCAATAGTTGTTGACAATAAAAAACAACACATTCCCTCCCACACACACGAGGGTAATGATGGGTTAGGCAAAAGTACAACAGCAGCCACAATTTCCCTTCAAATACACACCAAAACAAGTTTTTAAAAAACTTGGTTATTTTTGGAGAAATTTGAAATTTCCTCGAGAAGCATCCCTCCAAAAATAGCAAAACTTAACTACAAATACCTACCACACTTCTACTTAAATGAATGCATTGAATGCATTCAATGCAATCCTCATCCCTTGTTCTTTTTCCTTCCTTCTCCAATGAATCCTCCATTTGAGTCTCCTTTGCACTCTCCATCTCCTTCTTCAATTTACTTCTTCAGAGGATGATTCTTCTTCCTTTGACCATCTTCCCCAAGTTGTTGAAGTCCCTTTACCCAATCTTTTCACCCCGGAAACAGAAACAGAAACACAATCTGAAGGTAAAGGTGCTTTATTGAATCAAAGAAGGAAAAGAATTGCAGATCAGTTACTACAACATTGTAGGAATGGCAAACTTCAGTTATCCCTCGAGTAAAGTGTAATATCATTATCCCTGATGGATCCAAAGTTCCTGTAGCACATATTGGCACAGTTAAACTTTCTGCAACTCTTACCCTTCATAATTTGTTGCATGTGCCACAGTTTCATTTCAATCTTTTGTCAGCCAGCAAGTTGGCTCAACAAATGTCCACACAGATTGTCTTGACTTCTACAAATTGTTACATTCAGGACCCTTTGACGAACAAGCTACAAGACCTTGGTAAAGCAATCGATGGTTTATACTTGCTGCAGAGATCTCCTACAGATGAACACTTGGATGACACCTCTGTGAATACACAAAGATTTTTGAATATTACAGCATGTTTAGTTTCTATTGATGTTTGGCATTGTCGCCTTGGACATACTCCTCTACATTCCATAAAACATGTTATTTCTGGAGACAAATGTAGTAGTAGACAACTCTCTACCTGTAATGTTTGCCCAAAGGCCAAATTCCATAGATTGCCTTTTCCTACAAGTCAATCCCAGAGTACTCAGATTTTTCAATTAATACATGTTGATATTTGGGGTGCTTATTCTACTCCTACATATAATGATTTTAGATTTTTTCTTACCATAGTTGATGATTACTCAAGAGCCACATGGGTTCATCTTCTTTCTCATAAAAGTAATGCTCTCCCTATTTTGAAATCATTCAAAACATATGTTGAGAAACAATTTGGGACCACTGTAAAGAGCATAAGATCAGATAATGGTGCAGAATTTTCTGAGAAAGAGGCCATCCAGTTCTATAATTCAAAAGGGATTCTTCATCAAACTTCATGTGTTGACACCCCTCAAGAGAATGGCAAAGTAGAAAGGAATCACAAATCCCTCCTGGAAATTGCACGGTCTCTCAAAACTAATTCCGTTTTGACAGTTCAGGACCTCGGTCTTTACTGCGCTTTTCTCGGCTTCTGTTTACTTTCTTTCCGTTTGACACTTTTCTATATAAGCTCTGTAATAGTGACTTTCATAAGCAGTAGAGAATGAATTTTCATTTTCCTCCATTGTTGAGTATCTCTCTGGTCTTTCAATTCCTCCAAGAATCTGAGTTTATATCTGATTATCTCAATTGATAACAGATTTCTCAAACCAGCGGCAGATCTCAAGTCCTTCACGGGCACTTCTTTTTGCGGATGGTGAAAAGCCGGCAAAGAGACACATATACGACGATGGTGATGCTGGAAAGTTTTTCTTTGTGCGTAAATTGTTTGTGGCTGCTTGGAGTTCTAAGCAATCGTAAATTTATGTCTTGACTCGTAGTGGTTGCCATAGGTTAGGACAACGATCTACAAACTGCGATGGAGGCGATAGAACTGAATAAGGTGGAAGAACTTTGGGAAATACTTTGGGAAAACACATAGTTATTGAGTACCATTTTCTTACTCTTGAGAATAATGCTCAAAATGGCATTAAAACTTGTACTAGTTTTCCGAAAAATTCCTCTCTAATTGGGTGTTTCACCCATATTAGTCCATTTTTCAAATAAAAACTCATAAAAAATGATCTCTTGACTTTGGTCAAACATCGTAAACCAATAAGAAGGGAATGCAGCAGCTTTTGTTTTCCATATGTAATGAATTTTGATTTCAAAAGTTGACCAATTTGAGAAAACACCCAATTAGAAAAGATCATTTTGAGAAAATAGAATAAGTTCTAACATTGTTTTGACGCTGTTTTGACGGCCGTTGGTCGGGAGATTAAACTGAACGTTATTCGATCTCAATTAAACTAACTTAGTTATTATTTCATCTTGAGAACTAATTTGAAAAAATATAGTTATTGAGTACTATTTTGCGAATTTACTCTTATTATTATTATTATTATTATTATTATTATTATTATTATTATTATTATTATTATTATTATGAGGAAGCCACTGCCCTCCTACGAGGTTCTGTTCATGAAATTGATGATTCCTACACCCCTAACCCCCCGGTAAACCCCCCCGCCAAGTCTTGACCCAAACTACTCCCTCCCACCTACATCAATTGCACCTCGCAAGTATAAAGTCAAAAATTTTTGACTTTAAAGTCAATTATACTTGCGAGGTGCAATTGACGTAGGTGGGGGGAGTAGTTTGGATCGAGCCTTGGCGGGGGGGGAGGGTTTACGGGGGGAGTTAGAGGAGGTATGAATCATCAATTTCATGAACAGAGCCCCGTAGGGGGGCAGTGGCTTCCGTAGCCACTGGATTCCAGTGGCTCTAGAACCGGCCTCATTATTATTATGTAACCACTAGGCCTGGCAAAATAGAACCGGAACCGATTACCCGAACCGAAATATCCGAAACTGAAACCGGAATGACCCGAAAAATGAAGATCCGATCTATAACCGAAAACCCGAAATGATCCGAATCGAACCGAAACCGAACTAAATAATTCATATCCGATTTAAATCCGAAACCGATTAGATCCGAAACCGATAATATCCGAACCGATTAAACCCGAAACCGATTAGATCCGAACCTGATAGTACCCGAAACCGATAAAATCCGAAACCGATTAGATCTAAAACCGATAATATCCGAACCCGATTAGAACTAAAATCGATAAATTCAGAACTATGTTTGCCTTTCAATAAGCATATTATATTTTTAAATTTTTACTTTTATTTTACCATTTGAACTAATTACATTACTTGCTCATTCCCTCATAAAATGGATTATCTTCTTGAAAAAAAGTACAAAATTTTATGCCTTAAATTTATTATATGTAGAAATTAAAGATAAGTTATACATATAAATGATAATGCACAAACAAATAAAATTTTCGTAATTTTTAAATAGTGAAGTATGATATTCTTTTTGGGATGAACGAAATATATGATGAATTGTATGGAATAACTAAATTTTATCCTAATTTCATCTCATTACAATAAATTTTATTGATTTGAGAGTTAATTTGATTAGTTTCAAACCAATTCACTCAATATTAGTTAATAAAATTAGATGCTAGTGTTAGCATTTTGAAAAGACTCTCTAGCGGCAGCCTTTACTGTTATCATTTTCAAATTTGATCTACACCATTACATTTAGGTGTAAAATTAATTATATTTGACTCTATTAAATTTAATTTTCTCTACTTTCAACCAAATATACTCAATAATTTACAAATTTTGCACTCAATTGAATAAAATTCACTAAATTACACCCAATTTTACTCAATTTTTACCAAATTATATTCAAATGGAACATAAGACTATTCGAATTTATCTTTTATCCTTTCATTTATATACATAAGTATAATAGTAGATGTGAGAAAAATTTGATATTTCAAAACTAAATTTTAAAATCAATTTAATTATATTAAATTTATATCATAATTAAATATATATGTTTTCATAATTTGTAGTCCAAATTTGTAAAATATGACTAAAAAGTCAAAAAGGGAAGATTATATAGGGTAGAGATAATATAAATAGAAAAAAATATAAAATAATACTCCGTATGAGGTATTGAATTGATGATAGATTGATAAATGTGATAACACATAAAAAGAAACACGGATAGTTAAATTTTAATTAGAAAATAATATATATTCAAAATATATTTGATCCGAAACCGAAATATATCCGAACCGAACTAGACCCGAAACCGAAATATATCTGACTCAAATTGTATCCGAACTGAAATCTATCCGAACCGATTTATAACCGAACCGTATCTGAACCGACTCGAAACCGAACCGAACCGAAAAATGTATAGAATCGAAATCAAATCCGAACCGAAATTTAACCGATCCGATCCGAACCGATTATAACATATAACCGAAAGATATCCGAACCGAAAAAATCCAACCCGAAACCGATCCGGTTGATCCGATTGCCACCTCTAGTAACCACCCTACTTGCTTTTATCCAGCAGCCAAACGGTTCAAAATTCTTTCACGTAGTATCTATCTTGACTTTACATAACTAACACTATTTTTTAAAAAAACCATTAAAGGTTGTCAGATGTATATACATAATGCAACAATGATAGTTATTTGATGTGTCACATGCATCTTGGTGAAGTTTTTTTTGTCCCGGTGGCCTTATCCATTTTTTTTATTGATGTTACACGAAAAGAGCTTGAAACAAAAGAGTTAAACTCCATGCGGTCAGACACCCGAACCATATATATACACGCTCCCTATATTCCTAATGTGACTTCTTTTTTGAAACACTCCAAAATATTCACTACTACTTATGTTGTCATGTGTATTTATCCAGTTAAATAATTTAATTTAATACAAATTATATTTCTCTATATTTTATTCCTATTTTGTATTTTTAAATTTTATAAATTTTTCACAAGATAAATCTAATTAATTGTTTTTCTACGAATATACATTGCACTTTTTGTTTAATTAAGTTTCGAAATTTCCAAAATATCAAATTTGACAAATATACTGGGACGGAATTAATATTTTTATTCTTAAAAGAAATATTAAGTCAGTTCATATTTTTCAATACAAATTTTTATCATGTAGTTTCACATGTTTTAAACACTACTATTGTATGAAAATGAATTTTCAAAATACGAGCCGACAATGAAAGTAAATACTTTCCTTCTTTTTTAGGGGTACTTTCCTCCTATTAATTTGTTGAAAATTAAATAACGCATTGTTTGGAAATTTGGAAAATAATTTTTGGAAAATGACTTTTGGAAAATGAGTTATTTTCCTGAAGTTATTTTTCTTTCTGGTATTTGGCTAAAAATCAGAAAACTATGTGTATGTGTATATGTGTGGCTAATTTTGGGGAAATGAATATCCAAAGCAAGAAAAGAAAAGCCCAGTCAAAGAAGATAATGGGAAGATAATGGGTGTACGAAGCTCGAAAAAAGAACATGAACAATTTTGAAGAGCAAATAAAACAATTTAAATGTTATTTAAGAAAATGACTTAAGTTTTAGTGCTATTTAGTCCAAATATTTCAATAAAAATCTGGAATCCCCCATTCACAATGTTAAAGACCAATTTTTTATGATAATGATGATAGTCAAATATGTTGGTGATTTTAGTATCATCGACTATTTTGTTTAATTGGTTTTACTTAGATCAGACAAGAATTGTAATAGACGTTGTCTAACGAGTTAGACAGTGTGATGTGCACAATCGTTCAACGATATAACGATATTACAGTTTCATAGCGGGGTCCGGGGCCGGCAGTCCCCGGTAGCAGGGGTCCAAGGGGTGACAGCCCCTGGTGCGGTCCAAGGGGCAGAGCCCAAAACGTTAAAAGATTTGGACGTGTGGATAAACGTCAATTTGACCCTAAAACTGCAAGGATCTTTTCCCGCGAAATTGATGGAAGCAATCCGATTTTCAGTGCTTGTTCTTGATTAACATATTATCCGATTAAGGTAAATTGGTATACCCCAAAATAAATTTGATTTGAAAGCGTTCTACGTGATTCGTTATACTCTATCAAGTTATTCTTCTCCATTCTAATATCATATAAAATATAGGGATTATTAAATGTGAAATTCGGTATGCATGTGGTGGAAACGATAGAGGATGATTATTGGGGTGGCAGCAGTGTGGGATGGTGGAGACGATGATGGAGGTTGATGATTGGAGTGGTGGAAACAATTGGGATGGCAACGCCGATGTGGGGTTGTGGTGACGATGAATGAAAGGGCACGGGGAAGACAATGAATTAAGCAAAAAGATAGGAGCGGAAAATGACTTCCTCTTATTAAAAGTGGAAGTCAATTTCCGGATTTTAGATGCCATTTTCCATTGACCAAGGCTTCATTTTACATTGACCTCAATTTCCATATGGTGCCAAACAATAAAAAATCAAGAAAATGACTTTCAGAAGTCATTTTCCTTGTTTCCAAATGGAGCCTAAATGTATGGGGCTGTAAATTATATCGTAAAACAAATGTGATGGTAGTAAATTCATATTATGACTAAATACTCCTTCGGTCATACAAATTACGAGTATTATATTTGATCTTTTCCTTTCTAGTCGTCCCCAAATATTTTCTCTCTCAATTAAAATCAATTATTATCAACTACTACCCTCTCCATTTAATGTTAACTCTCTATTATTACTTTCTTTATGTATTGAAAAATGAATAGATGTAGACATATTTTATGTCTCCACTCACTCATTTTTCAATATATCAAGAAAAGTACTCTTAATAAAAAGTTAATATAGAATGGAGGAAGTAATCTATCTGTTACATCAAACTATTAATTACTCTGTATTAAACTATTATAGAGCAAGAATAATATGTGAAAGTAACACTCAAATTACACTCACCTTAAATATCAACTTTATCAAATATGAAAATGTTTTTTTGAAGAAAGGAGTATATTTTCTCTAGAAATCAAGATATCAAAGTTTGTAAAAATTGACTAATGGTTTGTTTGGAAACTTGAAATTGGATTTAAAATCTAGATTTGATCCAAATTACTTGTTTGGGAACACAAAAAATTTGGATTTTGATATGGACCAAATTCTTTTAATTCAAAACTAACTCAACTACAAATCTACACCACTCACCATGTCATTTACAAATTCAAGTTCAACTTTTCTTTACTTTAAAACTTGTAATTGAAAATTGATCTCCCCTTATATAATAACAATTCCATACGTATCAACGCGCTTCGGTTACCGTCTTTGCCAAGTTCAAAATTCAAATTCTAGAAATGAAGTTATATGATTTCCCAAACAACATTTAGAATTTGAAATTATGGAATTTCAAATGTTGGAATTGAATTCTAAGATTTCAAATGAATTCTAGTTCTCAAACATTACCTAAAAGAAATTCAATGTAAACCTTTTTTATCGAAGCCGACATCAGGCTTACAAACACTAATCTTGCACCTTATACATCTCCCTCTGAGATGAAGAGTGACTGAGTGAGGTAAATCCAGGTTTAATTTCAATAAATTAAAGAGTACATACCTGCTCCAGACTCTAAACAAGTTATATATACACTAACGAGATTATACATCACTACTAAGCCCTGTTCTTTTAGGTTGGAATTTCAGAGTTGGATGTTGGAAGAAAGTAGACGGAGTTGGAAGAAATTATAAGGAGTTCGAAAAAATTAGAAGAAGTTAGAAAACGTTGAAAGAATAAAAGTGATAAAAAAAATCATTCAGTTAAATGATCACCCAAATTAATTTGCAAGAAAGCTCTAATTTTGGATAAAGAAAGAATTCAAGAAATTTTGTATTTGCAATGATATGTTATAAATTTTGATATATAATGATATTGTATGTTCATCATATATAAATATCTTTTTTAAATCGTTTCCAAAAGAAACTAGAAAAGTGGGAAGGATTTGGAATGAGTTGGAGGAAATTGAAAGGAGTTGGAAACAGTTATAACTTAATTTTTCTAACCCAAAAGAGTAGGGCCAAAATAATACGGAGTATCTGATCTTCCTCAATTTCGAACACTAGTACTCACACAATCCCCTCAACCTCTCTTCCGTTTAACTACCTCGTCTGTGGCATGTAAAGAATTTTTTGAAGTAGAGTGAGTAATTAACTACCTCGTCTTGTTCCACTAGTCGCTAATCAAATTTTTTCTCTATTCATTACTTATTTTCGTTTATTATTTGTAAAAATAGAATATTCCTGCCTCCTCATGTTTTAATATATACGGAGTATTTGCTTTGTCTCTAGAAGTCATTCTTTTTTTCTTTTTCATCCATCCAAAAAGACATTTCAACGTTCTATTAAAAATTTATTTTGATATCTACTAATTCTTACTCTATCTATCACAATATATTTATTCACTATTATTCTACCTATTATATCATCTTTTTACCTATCACATTGATCATATGTAAGATTATTTTTGGAAAATCAACACAAAAATACATTTATTTTAAGTTATCACATGAAGAACTTTTAGGGACGGAAATAGTTTATCTTGTTTTAAATATTTGTACCATTATTTAAATAAATTCGATTAAAAATAAAGTCAGTCACGCCTCGTGATAGGATACAAAACCATAATTTTAGGAAGGAGGGATGAGAGAGAGTATTAAATATGGAAAGATAGCTAGATGGGCTTTCTCCCTTTCATTCACCAATCTCATCTCTACCATACCTTTGTTGGTGTGTGAGTGATACCCCACTTTTTCTCTCTTTCGTTCGTTCACATATATCTCCCTTTACCCTTTCTGCTGGAAATCAAAGCTGCATAAATTAAACCAATCCATCCTGACAAGCTAATTAAGCTATATCAGATCAAAATTGCCCTCCCATCTCACTCAATACATATACATATATATATATATATATATATATATATATATATATATATATATATATATATATGCCCTTTCTCCTTCGCTTTCAGCTCTTCGATCATCCCCACATGTGATTATTTATGTGAGCTTCTTCTTTATTTTATTCATGCCTTTTTCTTGATTTTCTTTGACTTCTTTGATTTTAATGGCTTTTTATGTCCCTGGAAATAGAATATATACTTATTTTACTCCATATGCCCATAATATATATGACTCCCTCTAATTTTTAATTCACTTTCTTTCAGGTTTTGTCAGCGCCAGATGAGGGAACTAATTAATCTAAGAGACTTCTATATGACTAGTTCTTGATATTTATTTATTGATAAATTTTAAAAAAAAGATTGAATTTTTATTTTATTTTTATTTACCGTTTATGGCTATGTATTACCAAGGAGGGTCAGAAATGCAAGGGGATGGTCTGCAGACACTCTATCTCATGAACCCTAACTATATTGGCTTCTCTGACAACGCACTCCCGCCGCCGCCGCAGGAGCAGCTGCAGCCGCCGTCAGCTGCCAGCATGATGTTTTTGAACTCCGGCCACGCGCTCCACTCCGGAGGTGTGTCCCACGCTCGGATTCCACAGTCCCAGCACTTTGTCGGCGTCCCCCTCTCGGGTCATGACCCGAACCGGAGTCTGTGGACCGCCGTTGACCAGCCGCCCTCCGCTGGCGGCACAGCCGACTTCGCCTCCCAGCTCGGGTTCCACCACCGCTCCTCCGGCCACCAGCAGGGCTTGTCCTTAAGCCTATCTCCCCAACACCAACATCAGCCTTTCACTACGTCTATGCCGCCGGTCGAGTCTCCGGTCGGGCTTTTGTCGGCGCGGCTGGCGCCGGACAATCATATCCGAGACTCCGGCGGTGCGCCGGCTCCGTCGGTAATCATGGGCTCGAGGTATCTGAAGGCCGCACAGGAGCTCCTCCACGAAGTGGTAAACGTGGAGAAGATCGTCAAGTTAGACGCCGCCGGAGGGGACGGGACGGCGGCGGCCGGAAACAGAGAGAGGGCGAGGTTGAACAAAGAATCGGTGTCCACTTTCGCCGGCGACCCGGCGACGGAGTTAACCACCGCTGAAAGGCAAGAGCTGCAGATGAAGAAGGCTAAGCTTCTTAGCATGCTCGATGAGGTATGTATATGCACGTAGTTTCACCATCGTACGGAGTGTTTTTTTAATCCTTTTATTCTCTTTTTCATCTTATTACCATTTTTTTATTTTACTTATATTTATCTCACAATATTTGTTTAATTTAATTTTTTTTATAATTAACTAAGATCTAAATGAATAAAAACTACTTTATACATTATTATAAACTAGATAAAATAATACGTTGAAAATATTGTACATAATAAGTATAAAATATTATTCTTTGATCAATATCTACTACAAATAATATTTAATTAATGTTCAAAATTTATAAATTTTGTGTGAAAAAAAATAGAAATTAGACAAATAGAACTGAGCTTTATGTGTTTTTTAAGGGGTACATTTTTTTATCTTGGGTCTTAGCTATTTCTAGGCTTTGTTTGAAAATATTACTCCCTCCGTTTTTTAAAACACTTCCTCTTTCATTTTTTTTACTTCCAACAAAACACTTCCACTTTCTATTAAAAAACCACTTTTACCCTTACTTTTTCATACCTTACCTATCATATCATACTTTATCTCTAATAATCTATCCATCACATCTTACTTTTACCTATCACATCAAGGACAAAATTGGAAGTCAACTACAATTTAATACTTCCTTATTTTTACACAAAGTCAAAATAAGAACACTTTTTCCAAACGGAGGGAGTAGTATAAACTCCACCGTACCATTAACTTAATTACACCAATTAATTTAGAAAACATTCATATAAACATTGTCATTAAATAATATTTTCAGAATTTTAAAGTAAAAAATTGGAATTAAAGTTAAAAATTGGAAATAGTGTGCAATTCTTCTTCTCATATTCTGGGTACCACTTATTCATATTGGACAAATATATGAACAGTAGGGTATTAACATCAACAGAAAGTAATCAATTATTGCTACCCGAGCCCCTAAATGAACTAATGCACTCTACTTTGAAAATTTGTAGTCAAACCTTATGATCTCACTCGTAGGCATTCTAAAATATCATTAAATCAATTTTAAAATATAATCCTAAAATATTACTCCCTTTGTCCCCCATAGATCTTTTCAATAGCCCTTTTTCTTTGTCCACAATAGATCTTCTCATTTCATATTCTTAACAATTAAAATACCACAACTACCCCCACTTACTTTATTTATTACACCACATCCACCTCATTTAATACACTCCACCCATTTTCATTAAGGGTATTATAGTAAACTTTCACCTTTTTTCAACTCTCCTTAAAAATCACCAAAAGTCAAAATGAGAACATCTTAGAGGGACGGTGGGAGTATATTTTTATAGTCAGGATAAGATCATGTACACAATTGAAACCCCAATGGTCAAAATGTTACTTCTAATTAAAAATGGTTAAACCTATGTACGGATAATTTTAATTTGAGAAGTTATATACGGACAAAGTGGTGGAAATATATTAAAGTGGTGTTCTATATATGGAAATTTGCCACGGTAACATTTAAACTTTAATTTATGGATTAAGCTATGTGTACCCCAATATTTATACCCCAAATTGTACTCCGCAGGTTTGCACTAACATTTTGTGTTGGTGTAAAACTAATATTTTGTTAACGCACCAACATTTGTGTCCGTGTACATTTTTGTTAACGCACCAACACTTATGTCGGTGTAAATCATCGCAAAGCTGTGGTGTACAAGTGGGGTACATTTTTTGGTGTAATTGTAGCATGGTTCTTAATTTATTTATTAGTAATAATATATGGAGTATTAGCCAATCCATGACATTTTGTTTCAAATTTAATTTTTTTGCAATAATTATTATGCTGCTCAATTAATAATGAATTGGTCAATTGAGACTTTTAGAGTCTAAGGGCATAATGATGAAGTCATGCAACTTGGGGATTCTGTATATATATTGGCATTAAAGTAGGATCATCTTTCCATCAAACTCTCAAATATAACAACATAAGAGTATGATTGAATCAAATGAAAGTGTGTTTTTCAATAAGTGGGCGAGTAAGTGATTTCTTTGTTTGATCGATTTGATTACACTAAAAAGATTACCCATTTTTGTCCCATTTATTACTTTCAATAAAATATATCTTCCATTTTAATTTAAAATAAGGTTGACACTTTAACTCACAAAACTTAAGAAGAATTATAAATAAGTAAAAAAAAACTCAATCCCTCCCTTGGATACCTTACAATAATTGTCATTTTTGTTGTTTTATTGGACTCTTTATTTTTTAAAATTAGAGTAGCATTACTAGAGTTTGAAAAGTCTTTCATACTTTTTTTGTACACGTTTCACACATATCTAAGATCTCGATCTCCCCTCATTTCAAGGGTGAATATATATCTGAAAAATAATTAATACTCTTATACTCCGTATTTATTAAAAATTCCATGAAATCTTATTTGCCACGCAGTCGGTGTTTCTTCCAAAAATAAAAAAAATGAAGGAATGAGAGAAGTGTAACATAGAGGATATCATTTTTAGACATCTGATCTCACAATAATAAGTGTAATCAATGTTTGTTTTTAGATTGATAATGAACACCGAAAAATGAAATGAACGTGCATGATTAGATGGATATATCAACAATTCATCAACAAATTAAATGGGAGAGCGAGATTAATAAATTAATTAAATTTGAAGGCGAATATTTATTCCAACTGCAATAATCGGATCGGACCACACACATTTATGTTCCAACTTTGAGAGGGAGTGATGTGCAAAACGTGTAGCCATATGTTTTTCCTCATGCGGGTCCGACCCGACAAAAAAATGTTTACGATAAAGAAGCTAGCAACGTCATTGGTTACATGTGTGTACTAGGTACGTTCTTTTTTGCCCTTATAACTTTAATAATTTGGCTCACCAATAATTATGGGTTTATCCTCTTTTATCATTTTCTATAGTACCCTTTGTTTACCGAGTACTTTCTCAGTCTCATAAAGATGTTTTTATTTTTACTTTTGAAATATTTAAGGATGAATAATTTTACGTTGACTTTTCAAAAATACCTTTGATGTGATATATAAAAGTAGGATGTCATCGGTAGATTATTAATAAAAATTATGATGCGATATATATGTTAAAAATTAATAAGAGTAAAAGTGATTTTTTAATAGAAAAAGAAAATTTTTGTGGGACAAGAAAACATGAAAGGGGAAGAAGTTTTTGGGAGGGAGGGAGTATCATTTTATCTTGTAGAGTCAAAGTGTGTTAATATATAATACTCCCTCCGTCCTTAAATAAAGTTTCTCTTTCGTTTTTTCTTTGTCCCTAAATAAACTTCTCTTTTCCCTTAAAAAACCCTTTTTACCCCTTACTTTTTCATACCCTACCTATCACATCATACCTTTTTACTAATAATCTATCTATCACATCTTACTTTTACACATCACATCAAGGGTATTTTTGGAAAGTCAACACAAAAATATCTCTCCCTTAAATCCTCAAAAAGTCAAAAATGGAACTTTATTTAGGGACAGAGGGAGTATTATAAAATACTCTAAAATGCAAACATGCAATATCAAGAGGTCTTGTATTGGTATAAATTTAATATTTTGCTCTGAATTAAATTGATTCATTCATATTTTTCTCAATTTTTTTTTTTAAAAAAAGGTGGAGCAAAGGGACCGACAATACATCCAACAAATGCAAATGATGGCTGCAACGTTGGAAGAGGCAGCGGGAGTTGGTTCGGCTAGATCGTACACACACTTGGCCTTAAAGACCATCTCCAAGCAATTCCGGTGCCTCAGAGCCGCCATTGGTTCCCAGATAAAGGCGGCCGGGAGGCGGCTGGGGGAGGAAGAAGGGCTGTTGTTGGGAGGAGGAGGGCCGTCGTCGTCCTCCTCCTCCAGATTATTAAAATTTGGGGATCATCACCGGCAGCATCATGCGCTCCAACAGCATTTTGGCATGATGCAACCGAATGCTGCTTGGAGACCTCAGAGAGGCCTCCCTGAGCGCGCTGTCTCTGTCCTCCGCGCTTGGCTTTTTGAACATTTCCTACACCCGTAAGTTCTACTCGTACGCATTTAATGTTCGACTCTTTTATGTTATACTCCCTCCGTTTGGAAAAACCCTTCCCATTTGATTTGGGGGCAAAAATAAGGAAGTGTTAAATTATAGTTGATTTCCAATTTTGCCCCTGATGTGATGGGTAAAAGTAAGATGTGATGGATAGATTATTAGAGAAAAAGTATGATGTGATAGGTAGGGTATGAAAAAGTAAGGGTAAAAGTGGTTTTTTAATAGAAAGGGAAAGTGTTTTGTTGGAAGTGGAAAAAATNGCATTTAATGTTCGACTCTTTTATGTTATACTCCCTCCGTTTGGAAAAACCCTTCCCATTTGATTTGGGGGCAAAAATAAGGAAGTGTTAAATTATAGTTGATTTCCAATTTTGCCCCTGATGTGATGGGTAAAAGTAAGATGTGATGGATAGATTATTAGAGAAAAAGTATGATGTGATAGGTAGGGTATGAAAAAGTAAGGGTAAAAGTGGTTTTTTAATAGAAAGGGAAAGTGTTTTGTTGGAAGTGGAAAAAATGAAAGAGGAAGTGTTTTTGAGAATGGAGGGAGTAGTATGTATTTCAACTCTGTCTCCGTTTTTGCCAAAATGCCAAGACATGCATGAAGTTTCAAAGAGTGTCTCTAAGACAGGCTAGTTGTTCATGCATGTCTGTACGAGGCTAAGTTGAAATTGACTTATATAATAAGGAGTACTATCTATGTTCCTGAGTATTTGTCTAGTTTTTTATTTTTTACACTCAATCATTTTCAACTCTTTGACCTATAATTAAATAAAATTTATATTTTATATTAATTAGATAAAATCATATTTTTAAAATATTTTATAAATAAATTTTATAAATTTTTTTATATCAATATATAACATCATTTTTTATTTAATTGTGGTTAAAGTTTGCCAATTTTAATCAAAAAATGGTAAAAAATAAACAAATATTCAGGGAGAGAGGGAATATTTTCAAAGTTTCAGACAACATCTCTCTATAAAAATATGGTTTCTATAAATATATTTGCTTATTATTTTGTATGAAAAAAAATAATTTTCCAAGAAAATATGTATGAAAACAATATACCGGAGTAATTTTTTGGACAAGACAAACTCAATTGTCTATAATCATCATAAATATAATTGACATTACATGCCAACAAATTGCACAACTAGACAATCCTTCCTAGATGAAAGGGCATTTAATTTTCATATTTGGGCATAGGAAAGATTTTCATCTACTCAATAGACAAGAGTTTTCCAATAATTTATTCCCTCCCATTGGACTACTAAACCCAGGAAATTGTTTTCTTGATAGTCATTTCATATGTCTATATCTAGTAATTTTTGAATGTTTTAGAAAAAGTCAACATGTCAATCATAAAAGAACCGATGGAGTAATAACTTAGGATGTTGTGACTTGAGAGCGTATGTACTTCAAAACCACTCGAGTGATTTGGATGAGTGTGGTTCCAAATGTGTCATGTGAGCCTATAGCCTATGTCTTCTGCTGTCTTTTCTGCCAACATATGAATTTGACTTTCATTTTGCCTTGTGTATTTCTTTTAATTACTGTGATTAATTTCAATTAAGAGAATTAAAAACAAAATCTTCCTGAAACATGGGAGTTACTTTGTCACCATTTCTCCTCTTGCAGTTACCCCAAAGATTCGGACAAAATCATGCTTGCCAAGCAAACGGGACTTACCAGAAGCCAGGTTCTTACTAATTTTTTTTTTTAAAACTTAAATTAATTAAATTTCCCATTTCGAACAATTAATGGAAAATCAATTAATGGAAGTAATTAAGGTGGATGACATTCGAAAAATTCAATGTAGGTTTCGAACTGGTTCATAAATGCTCGAGTTCGACTATGGAAGCCAATGGTTGAGGAAATGTACACTGAAGAAATGAAAGGCCAAGAGAAACAACAACAACAAGGCGGCAAAGAAGAAACCAATAATAATAATAATAAGGGAACAAAGAGAAACGGAGGCGGCGGCGGCGGGCCGACGGAGAAGCCCATGACAGATGGCAATAATTCCCCTACCGCCGATAATATCTCCTCCACTTCCCTTCAACCACCAGCACAAGGCGGCAGCGGCGGCGGCGGTTTCTCCTTCATCAACACACTAAACATGGAAAACAACAACAACAATAACAATTCAGGTGATGATCGGATGGTCATGAGGAATTGCGGGAAGAAGCCCCGAAACGACGCGCAAAGCTCGCCGCGGAGCAGCATCGTTTCGGTGGACATGGACGACATGAAGTCGCCGCACTCCAGCGGCGGCGGCGGTGGTGGAGGGTACAGTAACAGGGCGGCCGCCGCAGGGAACTTTCCCGACCTCCTGGCGGCGGCCGCCAGCACCAGCGGGTTCGGGGGGTTCCCCATTGGGGACTTCGGGAGGCCGTTCAGCCCGGAGAACCTGGCGGCGCCCGGGTTTCACGGAGGTCACAATAATAATAATAATGGGAGTGTGTCCCTCACTCTTGGCCTGCCGCCCTCCGAGAACCAGCAGAATTACCTTTCTACCCATCAAGACATGGAGCTAGGGAGGAGAATGGAGATGGGCAGAATGGGAATAGAGAGCAGTAACAACAACAGTGGGGGTTATGAAAGCATAGACTTTGAGAGTGCTGGAAAGAGATTTGCTGCTCAACTCTTACCAGATTTTGTAGCATGAGCCAATGGATTAATGGGTTCATCAAAAAGCCACTTTATAGGTTATCAAAATATATGAAAAGATATATACATATATGTAATGATGGGCATGCACAGAATTATACGGAGTACTCCGTACTCGTATATACACATACTCCTATTTTTAAATTATGATTGTTGGAAATTAACATTTTAGATCGTGTATGTACCATAATTCTACCATATATATACTGCATATATGTGCACTGTGAGAACGTACCTCTATATAACTCCTCTGCTGCATAACATGATGGTGGAAAAAGAAAAAAAGAGGAGATTTACTTGTTAGTAACCCTCTTTTTGAGTTTCAAGAAAGAAACAAATTAAAGGGGAATATTTATGAAGGGGTATATGTCACAAATTTATTTTGAATTTAAAATTGAATTTGAAATATATAGATACAATTTTGTAACAAATGCAGGGATTATTAGTTGGTGATTTTAGTGTCATCGGCTATTTTGTATAGTTGAGTTTATTTAGATCGAACGAGAAAATAGACATTGTTAAACAAGTAAGGAGGTGTAGAGTGCATGGTCGTTCAACGATATTATAAATTCATAGCGGGGTCCAAGGGCGGCACCCTCGCTAGCGTGTTTCATTTTCTTATATTGTCGACTTAGTGTTTCATTTTCTTATATTGTCGTTTATTTTGAATTAGTTATCCACTTTTTCATACCCATATTAAATAAAAATACTCCATTCATCACAAAATATTCACCCTATTTTGAATAATATGCAAAATATCATCTTTTTATAAAGTTAATTTAATTACAAATTAGTAAACACTATAAAATATAAATTACACCGTCTAAAAGTATATACTTCTTCGATTCCTTTAAACCCTTCCTATTTTGACTTTGGCCAAAGTGAAGAAAGCATAATTTTGGTTTACTTTCCAATTTTGCCCCTAATGTGATGGCTAAAAGTGAGATGTGATAGTTTGGTTATTAGTGAAAAAGTATGATGTGATACGTACGGTATGAAAAAAGTAAGGGTAAAAGTAGTTTTTTACTAGAAAGTGGAAGTGTTTTAAGGAATTCGAAAAAAACGAAAGGGGAAGAGTTTTATGGAACGGAGGGAGTATAAAAAAATCTACAAAACAAGATGTGACAAGAAAATTTTATTTTATCAAATGATCACTAAAAATGAATAAAGAAACAAAAATTATCGAGAACCCAAAATAGTTATTGTTAGCGTATATATGTATATATCATTTGTGTGTATTATTCCGTAATATTTTGGGCCTATCTTGTTGGGCTTGTAACATGTATTTATATCCTCTGGTATCAATGAAATAACCAAGTCATTCAGTTCACTAAATTCTACATGGTATCAGAGCCAGTTTTAGCTCACCTCGTTTGTCAAGGTGTCCGTCTAGACGTTCATTCCTAGCGGCCCGTTAGTCTTTAGCCCAGTTGTTCGTATGGAGGTTGTACCCAACGGCCTATGACCTATTTAACACGATTGCTCGTCTAGAAGTCCATACCCAGCGGCTCGTGGTCCTTTAGGTGTTGGCGCTCATAAAAAGAGTCAAGGGAATGGGAGTTCATTTGCAAGTGGTCAACCGATTAGATTCAAAATGACCCGGTTGTCCACTTGAGGGGGAGTGTTAGAGTACATCCCACATCGGAAAATCCAAGAGTAAAAATAATCGGTATATACCCTAGGTCTACCGCTGCAAGTCTCGTCTCTCGTTCGCCGGTTGTCTGCGCTGGTTGTCCACGCCGGAACGCCGTCAGTCCCTCGCCGGTGAACTGTCCAAGTCTCTTCCGCTGTCACCGTCACGGGATTGGCCATCTTTGCCCCGGTTGGGAGTCTCCGTCCAAGTCGCTGGTCCAAGTCAGCCATCGTCGCCCGTTCCGGTTCTGAACGCGCGTCTCCGTCCTAGTCACCGGCGAATCCATGTTCGCCCGTCCCTTTTCCGGTCTTCTGCGAAGAAGATCTGTCAGAATACCCTGTTGAAGTCGCCGTCCCTTTTCCGGTCATCTGCGAAGAATCTCCCTCCCTGTTCGCCCGTTGAAGTCGCCGCCCAGATTTGCCACGCCGTCCATCCCTCTCTGTTTCCGATCGTCTACGAAGAAGTTTCCGTCCGTCCAATTAAGATGGATAATGTGGCGAAACGGACGGAAACTTCTTAATTCATCCTGGAGGAAGAAACCAGAATTAAGAAGTTTCCGTCCGTCCAATTGTCGAAGATGGCGAAACGGAGTATACATCCTGGTTTCTTCCTCTGCGTCGGCTAATGTGGCTAACGTGGATCCTGTGCTTCTTCATCAACGTTTGGGTCATCCTTCCCCGGATATTTTCTCCCTTCTTAATTCTAATAATAAATCTGGTTGTGTTGTCGAGAAACTTCAAGCTTGTGAGATTTGTTTTTTGTCTAAACAAACTCGTTCTTCCTTTCCTGTCAGTCATAATAAAGCTGAAGCTATTTTTGATTTTATTCATTGTGATTTATGGGGCCCATATTCCCCTTGTTTGTCATCTGGTGCTCATTATTTTCTCACAATTGTTGATGTTTTTTCTCGTGCTGTTTGGGTATATCTTATTCGTACTAAAAGTGAGGTAACTGCTTGTCTTAAACATTTTTTTGCCATGATTCACACCCAATTCTCCAAAATCATCAAAGTGGTCCGATCTGACAATGGCACAGAATTCCTAAATGCCCTTTTGTGCCAATATTATGATTCCATGGGTGTTTGCATACAAACGTCGTGTGTTGGTACCCCTCAGCAGAATGGTCGGGTAGAACGAAAGCATCGTCACATTCTCAATGTTGCTCGTTCTCTCATGTTTCAGGCGTCTCTTCCTGTTGAATTTTGGGGGGAATGTGTCAAAACTGCTGTATACTTAATTAACCGAACACCGATAAAACTTTTGGGTGGGAAATCTCCTCTTGAGGTACTTTCGTCTAAATCACAAGATTTAAGTCATCTCCGAGTTTTTTGTTGCTTATGCTTTGTTCGTCAAACACCCAAACCCCTAAACAAGTTCTCTCACCGTAGCGTGAAATGCATATTCATCGGGTATCCATATGGCACCAAAGGGTGGCGGCGGGTATATAATCTCGACACTCACCAATTTTTTCACACTCGGGATGTCGTGTTTGATGAAACTCAGTTTCCGTTCTCTGTCTCGTCCACCTCCCGTCCTGTCCAACCCATCTTAAACCCCGCCAACGTCGACTTCCTAGTCGTATCCTAGCCGGCCGCTTCCCTCGGTGACACCGAACAGCCCGAGCAGCCCCCGTCACCATCTCCATCCCCCGTCCCGGTCTCATCCCTGTCACCGTCACCTGAACAGCCTTCCTCCTCTCCAGTCTCCTCAACGGGCGACACCACTTCGTCCCTACCGTCTCCCGTTCCTCTACATCCCCGTACACATCGCCTCCCCTCCCATCTTAATGATTATGTCCTCAATTCCGCTAATACCGTCACTCCGTTTCTCTCTTCATCTGGCTCCGTCTCGTCTGGTACATGGTTCCCAATTACTAACTATGTTCATTATGATAAGTTACATAACAGGTACAAAGGCTTTATTGGTGTTATCGATGCTTCTCCGGTTCCTACGTCTTATCGTGAGGCTGTCAAATTTGCCTTTGGGAGGGAAGCTATGGCACAGGAATTTACCACCTTGGAGTTGAACCATACCTGGGAGATCACTGTCCTTCCTCCTAATCGGTGTGCCCTTGGCTGTCAGTGGGTGTACCGCACCAAGTATATGTCCGATGGTACGTTACCAAGGAGTGGGACAAAGCGCAGTTGGTCGTCTTGGGGAACCACCAGGAGTTGGGTGTTGACTTCACTGATACTTTTGCCCCCGTGGCTAAGTTGGCTACAGTCTGGGTGTTGTTGTCTATCGCAGTTGCACGAGGGTGACAGGTTGATCAGTTGGATGTCAACAATGCTTTTTTACACGGGGATCTTCAAGATGAGATGTATATGAAGCCCCCCCTGGGTACTCTCATTTGTTTCCTGGGAAGGTTTGCCGGTTGCGCAAGTCTTTATACGGGTTGCGTCAGTCTCCCCGTAATTGGTTCGCCAAATGCCGTCTGGCACCAAGTCGTTCAGTTCACTAAATTCTACAGTTATGATGACAGACGGAGATGATATTATAAATTGTCTAAAATATCAAGGAATTATATAAAACCGACAATAATGGCTTCTCCTTTGAGAAGCTTTAGCTTGGAGGCGCAAGCAAATCAGGTTTTGGTGAAGAGGAAGATCGGAGCGTTAGGTGGGTGAAGCAAAGCAAGATGAAAATTAAATGAATGCGAGGTTGTGAGGGTGAAGGCAAGATAATGAGGGTGGTGAAGAATTTGGTAGGGGTGAGGGATAAAGTAGACATTTTAGTATATATTTATGTCAAAACGGATAGGAAATGATCATTTGTGGACAACCTAAAAGGAAAAATAAGAAAATAATTTGTGGAACGAGGAAATATTAATTAAAGAATATTTATTTCTTTCATTCCATATTAAGGCCATATATACTTTTGGGTTGAAATTTTAAAATTAGATGTTGGAAGAAATTGAGAGGAGTTGGAAGAAACTGGAAAGAGTTGGGAAAATGTTGGAAGAATTAAAGTTTTAAAAAGTCACCAAATAAATATGTAAGAAAACTTAAATTTTGGATAAAAAATAATTCATTGTTGTTCGTGTTTGGGGTAAAATATTACTCCCTCTGTCCACAAATAAACTTCTCGTTGCGCGTTACGATGTTTGAGTGAAGTTGTTTTCAAATCATTTTATATGAAAAATGATGTAAAATTTAAAAATAAAAATTACATATTAAAAAACTATATCAAAAGATCTACAAAACTAGAGGTGACATGACTACATTATTTTATCATATGGGTGACGGAAATACGCCAAGAAAGTGAATAAAGTTTGACCCTGTGAATAGTGAACGGGAAGTTTATTTGTGGACGGAGGGAGTATAAATTTGGATAGAGTAAATTCCATAAAACGTTTCCAGTTATAGGTCGTTTTACATATTTAGTCCCTACATATCAAATATTACTAATTTAGTTCCCAATTATTATATTCAATTACTAATTTAGTCCCAAATTATTATATTCATGTCCATGAATGGTCCTTTGTTAACATTTCTGTTAAGAATGTGGATGAAATTGTAAATTCACACTCCTTTCTCTCCTCAATTA